CTGTCTGTGACTGGCAGCAGTTGTCAGATGTCTGCGATAGGTATTTCCCTGATGGCAGGATAATGAAATTGTCTTGAAGGCCAGATCTTCCTAAATTCCCAAAGGTGAATTTAACGGTTTAAACAGATTTTAGTTGTTTCTTTTCTACTCAGACAGGGCTTCATCTGCCTAAACCCAGTTACAGAAGTCAATTTAAACGACAGCTATTAAAATATAGGCCACTAAGGGGCTGGTTTGTGTTTGTGGGAGATTATTTGCCATTGTTCCACCTTCAACTCTCATTTTCTGAGGTCTCTGGGTTGTTGCCTTATTTTTGACTCACAGAATTCACTCAGTTTTTTTCTTAACTGAATGTGACAACGCCAAAATGAACTTACTTTGTGTTACAGTGAAAGGACATATTTTTTCCCAAAGCAATCCTGTTTCTTTTTATGAAATAATAGATTAGCATCATGACAAAATACTTTTAATGTTAGTGAAGACTGACTCAAACTTAAGAGCAATGACTTGGAGGAAAACTGGTTAGGCATAATAATTGATGTTTCTGATATTTGCAGAGATGTATATAGTACTGTAAATCTGCAACGATCTTTCTGGTATTTTTATTTTTTATTTTATTTTCAGCATTATCATAAAATATTGTTTCCTGGTTATTTTTAATACAAAGCTGTAATTTACAAAATAGAACACTACCGATGACCAAAGCTTGCTGTTAGTTGTGCGTCTCATTTTACTGAACCACAAGACCGTATCTTATCCTAAAGTACAGCTTCATAAAACTGAGTGTATGTTTTTTTAGGAAGAGACCACAGTTCATGTAGCTCTGATGTTGAAAAATAACTCTTCTCTTGTGGAGCTGCACTTGTGCAAGCATGAAATGAAAAACTTTGGTGTGGAGCGACTGTGTGAGGCATTGTATGAAAACTCCAGCCTGAGATATCTTGATCTTAGCTGGTAAGAGTTATTACGTGACAGAGCCCTGACTAACATTAGACACTCGTTTTCTTTGCACCCTTTTAAAAAAATGTGTGCATCTCTCTTTCAGTAATAAAATAACCCATGATGGTGTGAAATTTTTGGCAGAACTACTAAAACAGAACCAAACCCTGCAAATCCTGGATCTTAATGCAAACCGACTAGAGGATGATGGAGCCATCTACCTGAGTGAAGCCTTGGCTTTGAACAACAGGACTCTTCAGGCGTTAGTATTTACACAACTTCTCCAGAGACTGCAGGTGTAATGACTCAGAGTACAAGAAACTTGGACTTCGCAGTGGCTGAACTGACGTCAAAGCTGTGTGCTTTGATGTTGATCAAAATAGAAAAGTCAGGAAGGTCCAAACTTTTTTGGTCCTTTTTTCCTTCTTGGGGGGAAAAAAATGTGAGCGACGGGGTGAGCGGGATCCCTTTGCCTAAGCATAGACTTCTGCTGCCGTTTGGGATGCCCCAAGGCCTGTGAGGCACCCACAGGTGCCGGCAGGTGCCCACGGGTCCTCTCAGAGCCCTGCAGCCAGAGACCAGGCAGGACACACTAATGCATTTCAGCTGGCAGAAACCTGTGTTTGGTAACTGAATGAAGTCCGCTGTAGCTTCATGTGAACTAAAGGAGTAAAACACGAGGCCCAGATGTGCCATTCAGTCCCATGTGCTGATGCCTCATGTTCATCTTCCCACACTGCCAGGCCTATTCATCACTCATTTTATCCCCTTTTCCTTCTACTTCCTTTTTTTCCATCTTGTATCCATTGCTGCGTGGCCTGACGTATGCTTGTTCTTCAATTTCAGGGGTTTTGGGGGGTTGACGCTTAGATCGGTTTTGTAGTAGTCCATCCTACATGTGATTCACAGCTTTTACAGTCGTTCTAAGGGGGATGTGTGGGGGGGAAGGCAATTAGATCTTGTTAGTTCTATCTGCATCTTTACAGTGTAGGTCCCTGTGGTGCACAAACAAAAACAAACCAAGAGCTGTATGTATTCAGAATGTGAAGATAATCAGATTCCATGCAAGGATAAGGCACTATATTTGTTGATTCTGATCTTCAACACTTAAGAAAATCCTCTGTTTAAGTTAGCTTCCGGGTGAGCCCGAAAGAGCTGTAATCTCTCCACCAGGGTGTATTTTGTAGCCCGCATTAAACCCTGCGCCGGCAGAATGTAAAAGCTGATCAAAGGTGTTACCTGAAGCCATTAGTTTTAAGTAGCAGACTGAGGAGGTGGCGGCTGCTAGGTGCCTCTGAAAGCCTTCCAGGTTCACTACTATAAAAATAACTGCCACTCCACAAAGATCAAAGCTTAGCCTGGATAAATGCCAAGGCTTGGGCTTCAAAGCAGACTAGAGATGAGACCTGGCCACCACGCAGGAAGTCACTGACACCAACGAACCAAGTAGTGAACAACCTGGACGCAGGAGGCGTGGAAACGCCTTGAGAAATACTGCAAGTCCATAGTCCAAACTGCCTTTAGCAACCCGAAAAAGATTTTATAGTAGGACTGGACTCGATACAAATAAATAATTACCTTATTAACAAAAAATACAAAATTTCAATCTACATATAATATATGATGTATAACAATAGATAATGATAAAATATAAAATAAGAATAAATCATAGTTAAACTCTTAGTTTTAACTAAGAGATGGGAATTTTGTGGTTTGGCACACATTTGTGTAACTATTTTCTCTGTTTATTAGGTTGTCAGTAGTAAGCAACAATATAAGTGGCAAAGGACTTGTAGCTCTTTCAGATGCAATGAAAACAAACATGGAACTTTCCTATATTTACATTTGGGGGAACAAATTTGATGAAGCCACCTGTATAGTAAGTGTTTGCTTCTGAACTCTTCTAAGAGGGTTGGGTTTTGTTTGTTCTGTTTTAGCAATCATTGGGAAGACTACAGCAGTGCATGAACAAGATATCTGATTTACTCTGGTTTTTTTTAATAATTATATGGTGGTGCTGTAATGCGACTCACTGAACGTCAGCATACTGAAATGATCAAGTGAAATGATCAAGTACTCGCCTATTGTGTGTTATCTTCTAGAGCCTTCACTGCAGTGAAAGTAGAATATCGTGTCAGATTTTTGTTCTTATTCATTTCAGGCATTTTCAGAATTAATTCAGACGGGCCGTTTGAAACCTAATTGTACTGACGTGGAACCGTATGAAGTGGATGGGCACCTTCACCTTGCAGAGCTCTCCCATGGCCTTAAGAAGCATTACTACTGGACACCAAGTTGTGGAGAGGTGACGAACACAGATGCCAATGCCAGTCTGGCAATTGCAGCGGTTTCAGAATACTTGTGAGTGAGGTGGCAGCTCGGTACGCTCCATACACTTGAAGTTTTCCTATTTTGTTTCTTGTAAAATAGATTATATCAGTACCAAACTTGCTGTACGTTGTTTCCTCAGGGTCTTTATTCTAGTAGGAATCTAAAAACACTTGAAGTGGCATTAGAGATAAAATATTGAACTAGTGACGTGCGGAAACTAGACTTGCTTCGTCTAGTTCTCAGTAACATTTACCCGTGGGTTTTATCAGGCCTGCCTTTTAAGTTATTTCACTACTACTATCCCTGACTCACTAGTGACCTTAAAATTTGTTGCTAAAAACGCCCAAGCTATTAAAAGCCTATCAATACGAAAAGGCTTTAATTTTGCTGGAGTCATTTCTATTGCACACTATCTCCTTCACCTTATTGCAACTAGATGTAGTTCCCAGGTGACAGATTAATTTAGTATAATAATATGCTAAGAGGAAAACACTTTCACCACGGCATAGCGCACTAAGAGTGACACTAGGTATTCTTAGCAGTAACAGGGAGCAAACAGTCACTGACCAGAGGAACGTGGAGAATGCAGCCTGCAGCAGTGCAGAGGCATGAACTAAACTCCTCACCTCAATTTAGGAGACCTCAGATCAGGACCTTATCAAGTGTTTGTTGTTTGAGAGAGATGCAGGGGCTGGTTCAGAGCAGCAGCAGAGCCTACGGATAGAGTGTCATGACCACGGGGTTCCTCTTCCGCATGGCAGCTGCAGAGGAAGAGCCGTCGTTGCCCTTCCTGGGCTGTGGTCTCTGCAGTCAGGTTTCCAGGTAGCAGGGAGAGCCCACAGGCAACGTTGCTGCGTCTCTGCAGGCTGGAGCACAGCCAGGCAAATCAAACTGACAAAAACTTACACCCAGGACTGCCGCTGGGCAGCAGCTTTGCTTGACTGCAAAGCAGATACGCTGTAGAACAAGGCTCCTGTTGAAGCCAAGAGAAGTTTGGGTAAACCCATATGTTGCTACTGTGCTCTATATACTCTCTTCTCTTACTTAGTAATGGCATGCTTTTGATCTTCATCCAAGAGTGACTTTTTTTTTTTTTTAACCAAGTTAAATGAACGTAAGTGTTAAGCCATTGTAATGCTGGAACGTTAAAGCTAGTGAACCCAGTTTAATGGTATGTAAACGGTATTTTGATTAACTTGCACAATGTACTTGTTTCTTTTAATACAAATGAAAAACACCAAACTTAGTTTCATTATTTCTTCCTGTCTCTTGAAAACTGTTTAAAAACATTTATATCATGATAGCCACGTGGCAACTCCTACATGTGAGTAAGACAACATACGCTTATAATGGTAGTTAAAAATTGTTTAATGGTTTGGATACAGACTTCTTAGAAGTTTAGGAATCACTCAGCTCGTTTCCTTTGCATACCCACTCTGCTCATACCTGTAGAAGTGACTAGATTGATGCTTCTGAACAGAAAATCACCAAAGAAGACAGCAGAGGTTTGCTCAAAGGCTTTCACTAGCGCAATCTTGTGCGTGTCTAAATGTGCCTGTTAAAAATTAGTATAGAACAAATAGCAGAATGGTCTTTGAATGTATGTGCATGCAGGCAAAAGACCTATGAGATCGAAGTATGAGGAGAAAAAGATAAGGAAGTAATTTCAACAATAATACCTAAGAAGCAGGGCTGTAGCTGCTGATGTTCTGATTCTGTATGATGACAGTGGCAGTGCATAAAGAGGGAGGTGCATGGATACCCCTCCCCGAGCTGAAATGACCAAGTGGTACTGATAGCTGTTGTAAGTGTTGGAGATTTTTTTCTCTCCCTCCCCAGCCCCAAACACGAATTAGTCAGGCTCTGTTGGTCCAAAAAGCATTTACTATCAGAAAAGAACTTAGAGGCGAGCCCACAGAGCAGGTACGTTTGTTCTACCACACACGACTTGACGTGGAGGTCTCACCCCTCTGCCCCCTCAACCTTCTTGCCTGCTAGAGACAGCATTTAAGACCTGATCAAGTTTTCTTCATCCTCCAGACCAGGAGTTCCCTTGTGTTCTCTTCACAGAATAGTTTAACAGATGTGACACCCAAAAGGTGAGGGCAGAGCCAGAGACCAGAAATGAGTTATCTTTGTGGCCTGCACAGGCCTATAGTCATCTCCTTAAGCACAAAGTCCATAGGTTGCACTGTGAAAACCCTATTCCAGAGAGGAGCTTATAGTTAAACTATTGTTGCACAGAACAACAGAGCCATGAAAACAAAAGTTGATGATACACAGAACATGATTGTTTGAGAAGAATCTGCATGCTATGAAAATTCACAAGTTTTTTAAAAGTCAGTAGGCCGGCCTGTATTATCAAAGTTGGTATTTTCCCGAGTGTAGCAGAAAAACGCTCTGGAGCATTGCAGGTTATACTCCAACAGTCTAGAGAGAGTACTCTCAGTACCGAGACATTCACGATAGCATTTCTTGCGAGAAAGACCACTACAAGATTCGGGTCGAGGTATATTTTTTTCCATATATCTTTCTTTCTGTGGATGAAGTTCAGGCTAATTTCATTGCCAAACTAAGTCTTAATTTACTTGTATGAATGACATTCATTAATCTGCTGTGGTAACAAGGAACCAAACCTACCAAGTCAGTCCCAGCTCTACCAACAGCAGTATTTTATTTTTAGTAGATGTGGTAAGATGGCAACAATAGCATACACAAAATGTAGCAGGATAAATAGCATCTACTTTCAAAATTGCTAGTGTATGTTTTTGAAATATTTTTACTCTCTCTGAACCCGTGTTTAACAGCAAGATGCTTGGCCCAAAAGAGCACTCTGCATTATTGACAATATCCGTAAAAATAGCTCATGTGTTAGAGTTTACTTTGATATTCCTTTGTAAGTAAGAGCTGCAGAGTATTCTTACAGAATTAGGTATGAACAGCTTCCTGCAAACTAAAATAATTATCTGTGCAGAAACCTGTATTGCTTAAAGAGGCCTACGCCAGAGACATTTATTGCTTTCCTTTCTCTGAAAACCAAACCTTGAAATTCTTCAAAGGTGTATCTTGTGTTCTTTGGAATGAGAGAATTTACATAGGCTAGAAATTTGTGCCGCGGTCTTCTGAGCAAATTATTCTAGTAGCAAACGCAAGCATAATCCTCCTCTGTAAAGCATTGTTTCAGCTTCCCGAACTCGTAGTACCTTGCTGAAAGGCAGCATTTTTGCCCCAATTTAAAGGGAAAGGGAAATGACTGATCCAGCAAGCCAGTGGTACAACACAGGTCCCCTAAGTCCTACTGTGTGCTCCGGCCACCTTTACCACCTTCTGTAAAATTAAACAATCTAGTAAAAATAAGATACCAATTCGGATAAAGAAATTCACTGAATGTCTACTTTAGCACAAAAATTACATCTTCAAAGCACTCTGTGAAAAACCCCGAAACAACCCACCCCTCCCCAAACACCTCAACACACGTGAAAAAAAAAACCAACCTAAGAATCATTATACTAGATTGTATTTAGAATAAAGTTTTTGTTTAATTTAGTTTGAACAGACCCAAAATATTTTCTATGAGGAAAAAACAGGTACGTTTACTGCCAAGAAGAAAATGTAGTAATCCTTGCTGTGTTAGTATGCTGCACAAAGGGCTACCGTGCGTCCTCCCGACAGGGTGCTGTGATGGTACTTATGTCAGACTGCTTCCCTCCTTCTTTTGTTGCTACCCCTTGCAGTTAGAAACAGGAGACACAAGGTGAGGGAAAATTACAAAACGAGTTTATTAAAGTCTAACATAAAACACGTCAGGCTAAATATGTACAACTCCCTCCCCTCCCAGGGGATGATAAAATTGAGAGTTGAGCTATATACAAATAACAGAGGAAAAACTGTATATACATGAAAGATATTTTTAAAATAATTTAACCAAAAAAATCAGTTAGTCCTTATCTGAACTTCATTCTGCAAGGCTTATCAATAGCCTCTCCAAGATCACAGCCCTGAAATCCTTAACCATGGGACTTGTCCATACTTGAAAGTTTTTTTGAAACACGTGATTTCAGAAAAATTGTCATGCTTTGTGCCCACATTTAGGCATGCATTTGGAAGTAAGTGTCATACAAGGAGCTATCCTGACGTAAGTATTTCTGAACAGCCAACTGAGAAATTTCTAGATGCAGAATAACCTATTCAGGCAAAACCTGCACCAACTTCAGCACAAAATTGACTGAAACGGTATTGAAACAACGATGAGACAAATCATGTTGTTTTCTCTAAATTACTGTTAATGGAGTTATTAAAATTTTACCTTTCATTTTGCAGGTAGGTCTCAAGAAGATGTTTGCCTAAAAAGATTCCATGCTTTCCCACATTAATCCCTTCCAGAAATTATCAATACCGTTATAAACCTTGTACCTCCCAAATTAACTCAGAATCCTTAAGCCTTGGAATTAGATGTGCAGCTGATTTCCATGCATCTATTGACAAAAGGTACAGTACAGACCTGCTGCTTCAGGTCCTACAGCACCCAGCCTGAAAACACCTACTTTTTTTTTTTAATATGTATATATATTTTTAAAATCTATATTCTAGTAAATGAATACAGTTCATAGAGATCATACCTCAGCAACTGAGATATCTTCACGAAAGATGAGGGTAAAAATCAAGACTCTCAGATGGGGACTCAAGAGTGCAGGTCACTAAATTATTGCTTCAAGACAAAACTATAAGTCTGTGTATTCTATTAAGAAAGGTTAAAATTGTTGTCTTGTAAAAAATAATGATTATCTCGTTGTCTATAAAGAAAACTAAATGACTAATAAAGCAAGTGTTACTGTTATAAGTATCTAAACAAATCCTGTATAAATCTAAGCACTGTATTTTTTAAAAAAGTCTGAAATCTAAGAATACAGTAATAAGCTATAATTTTAGAAATATAAAAACAGTCCAAACAAACATTGTTATGGAATGCATCTTCTATGTAGGAATGTGATTATTATTATTTTTTAATATCTTTTTTCCCAGAGCTAGTTCTCT